ATACTAATAAATGATCTTCCAATCAAAATTAAAAATGCATTTATCTTATTTCATTGACCCACATATGCGATGTAAAAGGAGGCTGTATGAAGTTTACCGCTTTATCGACTTGCATCTGTGCGTTTAATGTGGGTGGCAAATCATTGGGAGGATGGATATTATCTCGAGGAAAGAAATAAACGCGTACATGTACGATACTTTCGACGTCCCTACGTTTTTCGTCTAAGATCAATGACAGAAATACGTGATAAAAAATGATATTGCGGAGATCACGAACGGAGATGAAATTATTAAGATTTGTTTATATCTTTGCGGCACTTTTTATTTTAATCTCTGGGGACGAGTATAAAAAGCCAACTGTTTTAATAACGATTCTAGTCCGTAACAAAGCACATACATTACCGTATTTTTTAACGTTCTTGGAACAATTGCATTACCCGAAAGACCGAATGCACCTTTGGTAAGCATACACGCTTTAACCCAACTTTCCGGCATGGCACGTTATGAATATTCTAGTATTAATATGAATGCTTATTTTTAATAAAACGAGCAAATACGAAATAAGAATGTACGATGCTTCCTCTTGATATTACTATATAAATGTACAAAATATAATCTGTAACAATTGTTTGATTGATCTTTAAATAAAACTAATTATTGAGAATGCTGCATGTATTTAAACAATGTTAATTTCCTAACTGAGTATAACAATAAATTCCGATTTCCCATAATTTATTGCAAAGTAATGATATCCCGAACGCACGAAACATGTATCGATAATTAATACGTATCGATGTTTTTGCTTCGAAATCTTTGAAACGGTGATAAAAGATTACGATTGACATTATAGGATACGAAGCGATAACAACATTGATAATTCCGTTGAAATCTTGACGACCTGGTTGAAAAATCAAGCTGACGAATACCATGGAATTGACGTCAATCTCGATGAAACCATATCCAAAGATAAATTTGAAATTTCTCAATGGTCCAGGCAAAGATTTTTACACGTGATCAATTTACGCGAACAAGCACTCAATGCGGGAGGAAATATGTGGGCAGATTTCGTTTGGGTACGAAATTTCATTTCATAAAATAGACTGTGGATGTAAAAAAATATTAAGGATTTTATTTCATGATAGATGCTCGACGCGGACGTCTTTCTGACGAATCCAAACACTCTCAATGAGCTGATTGTAAAAAATCAAACTGTAGTCGCTCCCATGTTGAAATCCGACGGATTGTACAGTAATTTTTGGGCTGGGATGACCAATGATTATTATTATTTGAGAACTGAGAAATACGAACCGATCTTTTATCGGGAGGAGAAAGGATGTTTCAACGTGCCAATGATTCATAGCGCTGTTCTTATAGATTTAAGACGACGCGCTTCAGATTTCCTTACGTACGACCCGAACAATTTGAAAGCGTATGATGGACCCACTGACGATATTATAACTTTTGCCGTTGGAGCTAATATGTCTGGTAAATTAATCTATCTCTCTCGATTGATTATTCTTTGAAGATCAATTGTCTTCCTTTGCTTTTAGATATATCTTTATTTATTTGCAACGATCATTTTTATGGCTTCGTGACAGTTCCATTAGAAGAAACAGAGACAATCGCTGATGATGAGCAAAGACTGATTAATATTAAGACGGAGATTTTATGTAAGTCGAGAGAATAGAGAGAAACAGTTTAGAAGACTAAACGTGGGTGAACCATTAATTCCTTTTAGCGAACAGTAACTACTTACCACTATCGACGTATTTGGAACAGTTCGTACAATATCCTGAGAAGGATACATTAGGAGTGGATCACATTTATATGATAAATCTTTTAAGAAGACCAGAAAGACGCGATAGAATGCATAAACTTTTTAGGGAACTTGGAATTAGAGCGGAAACGATAGACGCTATTGATGGTAGGTAAGTTAAAACGAAGGTAATCTATAAATTGTGATTATTAAAGAATGTTACTTGGTATTTTACGTGTCACTTCCATCAGGGCGTTAAATAGCTCTATCATCAAAGAATTAGGAATAGAAATGATGCCGGAGTACGCTGATCCATATCATGATCGGTAAGTGTCTGTGAGAACAATTCACTGAATAATGAATGATGATAACAAAAAATTGCAGACCAATGACTATGGGTGAGATCGGTTGCTTTTTAAGTCATTATAATATTTGGAGTAAGGTAATTATAATTATTGGATTCCAATTATTTTATTTCGATTAATTTGTGCATTGGAATTATAATAAAAGATTGGGCAATTATCAGGTAATCGAGAATGGTTTCGAAAGTGTTATAGTCTTAGAAGATGACGTCCGATTCGAACCGTACTTTCGACAAAAGATTAAATACATTTTAGCAGAACTGGACGATCTTCAAGTTCAATGGGATTTAATGTATGTATTTAATCTTCGCTTTAGTTATCGAACGAAATATGAAATCTGTCGTACGTTTGTAGCTACCTGGGTAGAAAAATATTGGCAGGCAATTCTGAAGCTGTGGTTTATGGATCGAAATATTTGGTGCGCCCTAGTTATAGTTATTGGACTTTGGGGTACATTTTATCTGGTAATGGCGCAAAGAAACTCGTCGGAGCAATGCCATTAAAACACTTGATACCCGTCGACGAATATCTTCCAATATTAGCCGACGTTCATCCCAGGTAAGAAATGTTTTTTTTTTTCAACAGAAATGAACGATCCATGTATTATGTGTCTATTACTTTCGTACAGGGAGGACTGGAAAATATATTATCCAAAGAGAAATTTAATGTTGCTTTCTGCAAGCCCTTTGCTAATTTATCCAACGCATTACACAGGCGAGCAGGGATACATCAGCGATACAGAAAATTCGACGATCATATTAAATAATCAAAGTACCTTTAAGTCAAAAAGGGAAGACTTATGAGTGCCATATAATAGTTACCATAAGAATATGAACCGTATTTTTAAGTTTTATTAATACACTCACTTTGTGTACTACTGCCATTTAAATATGTATTATAAAAACGATAATATGTACAAGAAATAGAATGATAGATATGATGTTTTATATATTTCTAATTTTTTTTGCAATCCGTTTGTAATAATTTTTTATAGATTTACTTTCATTATTCGTCAACGCACGGCGCTGTAGTTAAAATTCGAATAAGTGAAGGTGAAGACCAGGGCAAGGGTGGCCAGAGAAACGAGTTACATACCCCTTCCATCAGCACACTGGCTCGATTCCCCTCTGGCAAAGCTTCGCAGAGAAATGTCAAGTTGCCTTAGCAGCGATAGATAGTGGAGATAACGTGACGTTCCCCTGCGGAGCTTCACCAGAGGGGAATCGAGCCAATTTGCTGGTGGAGGGGGTAGGTAGGGACTTCTGCTGGCAACTATGCTCGAAAGCCCCACGTCCCACGTTCTCACTCTTTTGGCTGCCGGCGTTGCATGGTCTTGTGCCTCTTGTGCTCCGTTACGTTTATTTTGCAAATTAATCATGGCAGAAAATAAGGAGCGTACCTTTATTATGGTGAAACCCGACGGTGTCCAACGTGGACTCGTCGGCAAGATTATTCAGCGTTTCGAAGACAAGGGATTTAAGCTTGTAGCGATGAAAATGCTGTGGGTAAGTCACATGCGCTTATGTGCACGGTTTAGAGAAAAATATGCTGGAGTACTTGGTCTCATTACGTCCACGTGGATATCGTCATATTAATTTTTATATATTTAGTGTAATGCGTCCACTTTAAGTGTCCGACGTTCGTAATATCGATTACAGAGTAAAGCTAATTACCGTGACCTTGATCCATGACGTCTCCATCTTCCGTTGTCAAGCTAGATCACTGTTTATAATGTCGATCTGTTTTTAATGTAACATTATGAAAAACTGCATTAGAGGACTTATTTTATCTGTATAATTATTAATATGCAATAATATTTTTCTTCGCAGCCATCTGAGGATTTGTTGAAACAACATTACGCAGATTTAGCAGCTAGACCATTCTTCCCTGGCTTGATTAAGTACATGAGCTCGGGACCAGTTGTACCGATGGTAATTACTTTATATTTGAATTATTTTTAATTATGTACTAAATGAAATATTATAAATGTTCATCAGGTATGGGAAGGTCTGAATTCAGTTAAGACTGGCCGTGTTATGTTGGGAGAAACAAATCCGAAGGATTCCGCACCAGGAACGATCCGTGGTGATTTCTGTATACAAGTCGGACGTAACATCATTCATGGATCCGATTCCGTCGAGTCTGCCAATAAAGAAATCAAGCTGTGGTTCGGAGGAGAAAAGGAAGTCGTTGACTGGCCGTCTTGGGCAGAGAAGTGGATATATGAATAGAATTCCATTAAAAGACAATTATTATCAAGACATTAAAACTGGACCGTGCATACTGCCATTTAAATACCATCAGAGAGTATTTGTATATATACAAATTTATATACAACTTATAAGTGGGCTTGGGAAATAATAAAATAGATTCTTTTACGTATACATACCTAATTATTTAACTATGT